ATTCCCTTCCTTCCTCTGTACAAATCCCGCCCATCCCTCAGCTGGAGTCCCAGCCCACCCTGGTGCCTGCAGTAAAGACCCAGGGTCAGAGGCGGCTGGGGTGTAAGGGAGAGGTGGTGACTGCGACAGCAAGTGCAGGGGTCTGATTTACAGCCCAAGCTGCTGCAAGCTGGCTGGGTGACGTGGGATAGGTCACTTTCCCTCTCGGGGCCTCAGTTTCCTACCCCTTCCAAGGAGAATAAAGGAAGACCCTTGTCCCCAGGGAGCTCACAGCCTAGAAAGGGTCATAAGGTAAAACCTGACCAGTGACTTCAGGGGTGTATCAACGGCCTTGACTCTGCACCTGAGGAGAAGCTTATGGAGAAAGACTTGAAGAATGGATAAAATTACAACCAGTAGAGATCGAGGCAGGGGAGAGCACCCCCGGCAGAGGACACAGCCTGTGCTGGGAGGCAGAAAGTTCGGGGGGTGTTCGAGGAAGAATGAATGTCTAGATTCTGGTTTCTTTCTGAGTCAACAGCTCGGATGCTTTTTGTAAGCTGGCAGCCCAAGCCAGGCAGCCTCCAGTAAACACCTGTTTACACAATCGAGGTCATGCACAGGGACGTGTTTGCACAATGACCTGTTTGCACAATCTCAGCCGACAGAGTATCCCAGCCAGGCCAACCCCTGCTGGATGAGCACAGCCACCACTTCCGGGTACTCACCCTGGCTGACCCACCCCGCCCTGCCCTGGCCCGGCCCCCTCCAGAACAGGCACCCCCTCCCCCTTGACCCACCCAGCAGTCCCACAGGTCAGGGCAATAACAGAAACTGAAACGATCTGACCCTCAGCAGGGCTGCTGAGAATGGGGCTCCCTCCCCAGGCCTCTCTGTGGGGTTTCCAGCCCACAGAGGACAGACACCCTGTCCAACGGAGGAGGGGGTGGGGCAGAAGAGGTGGAGGAGGAAGTATCCAGACTGGAGGGGTGTGGAGGGGATGACTCCACATCCGCCTCCTGCTTTTCAGCTCACCAGAGTAAACATTTATTGAGCATTTACTATGTGCCTGGCTCTGTTCCACGGGGCCTCACGTGCATAATGTCACTGATTTCTCCCAAGAATCCCATGAAGCGGGTTTTATTATTATCGTCATTTTAAAAATGATGAAACTGAGGCTCAGAGAGGTTGAACAACTTGCTCAGGGTCACACAGCTCGTATGTGGCAAACCCAAGCAGACTGACTCCTTAGCCTCTGCTCTTAACCTTTCTACATACTAATGACGCTCCCTTTAAAAAGTTCTTCCTTACATCTAACTTTCACTTGAGCTGCTGCAGCTCCATTTCCTGGTGCAGGTCAGCAGTGGAGAATGAAGCACAGATGAGATCAGTAAAATTTCGTTCTGAAATATTGAACTATGTATGCAGGGGGTACAAAAGAAAGACTTTTATTGAACACCTATTATATGCTGGTTCATGTGCAAGGCTCCCGTAGCTCATTGAATTCTCACAAAACCCGCAGGAGGAGTTATTATCCCTGTGGCAGATAAGGAAATGGCTTAGAGAGGGCAAACAACTTCTCCAAGATTCCGCAGTCCAGTAGCCATGCACTGAGAATCCCCCGTGTGGCCTGCACTGTGCGGAGGCTGGAGGCAGAGATGAGAATATGGTTTCTGCCTTCCGGGAGTTCACAGTCTAGTGGAGGAGGCAGACAGCCCAGGCCCACTGCAGGCTCACGGGAAGGACGCTCAGCGCAGGCTGGATGTCTGAGCTGTGACAGAGGCAGGACTGGCTAGCCTGGCCAGACGTGATGGGATCAGCAAGAACAAACAGTGTTCCAGAGCCTGAGGCAGGTAGGGAAACAAGCAAATTCCGCATGAAAAGCATGACTAGAGCATGAAATGTCCACCTGGGGAGATGGAGGCAGATAAGGCAGCAGAGGGAGGCAGGGCTGGAGGAGCCCAGCGGGCAAGCTGGCACATCCAAGCGAAGGACACGGAGACCTGACAAAGGCAAGGAGGGGAGATGGACTCACGAGGTGGACAAGATAGAGCTCCATTAAGGCAGGAACCAGAGCTGCTTTTGCACATCACTGTACCCCTGCACCTGCTCTAGGCCATGCTTTCTGAATGATGAACAAAAAGGCCCACCCGTTCTCCTTCATTCTGAACTGATTGGATGTGGGAGTATGGAGAAGAGGTGTGAGGAATGACTCCTGGGCCCCTGGACTTGGGGGGATGGAGATAGTGGACTAATTTACCAAGGTGAAGAGCGTGGGGGTTGGGAATAGGTTTGGTGAAGTAAAGGAAGGTTCATCCAGTCAATCCATTCATTCAACAAATATGAACTGAGGGCTCACTGTGTGACAGGCAGGGTTGTATACACAACAGATGATGTTTTAAACAAAACAGACTGAAACCCTTGCCTTCATGGAGCTTCCATTCTAATGGGAGATGAGGACAGGGGCAACCAATGTCAGAAGTGAAAAGGGATACAGGGGGGGAAGAAGTAAGGAGTAGGGCTTGCGGTTTCGTGAAAGGGTGGTTGGAGAAATCCTTGATGTGAAAGTGATATTTGAGCAAAGACCTGTAGATGGGGAGGGAATGACCCATATCATTGTATTTTGGGGGAAAGAGTCCAGGCAGAAGAAACAGCAAGTGCAAAGGCCCTGGGGCAGGTGGGAGCCTAACCAGTTCAAGCAACAACAAGGGAAGCAGAATGGCTGAGCGGAGCAGAAAGGGAGAGAACTATAGGAGAGGGATCGGGGAGCAAATGGGGGTGCTCCAGGTAATGGGAACTTGAAGTTCATTGACAGGGGTTTGACTTTGACGCTGAGATGGGACCAATTGGGGGTTTGGGCAGTGGATGCTGGGAACCGGCTTCTGTTTGATCACCATCGCACTGGCTGCTGATGGACCTTTAATTAACAGGTGGAGGGATGAAGAAGAATGGAAGTAGGAGACCTGGGAGGGGGCCATGGCAATCATCTAGGTTTGTGTGATATTTATATCCTCCAACTATTTATCATGAAAATATTCAAACAGAGCCACGTTGAACTTTACAGTGAGTATCTGTCTACCCAGGATGCTGGTTCTATTTCGAAAGAAGAATCAGTGGGATTCGCTGAGCATGCAAGGGCCTATGGGACATCTCGGGGAAGTAACCGCAGACAGTTGGGTATTTCGATCTGGAACCAAAACTGCAGCCCAGGTCTACCCCCTCACCCCAGGCTCAGAGAGCCCATTTTTTTCTAAAAGGATTATATGTTAGGGACACTCTACTAGTCAGGTGGAACCTAACCTTCCTGGGTCATAAATCCAATAAACTATGAACAGAAAAATGCACAGAAAATTATAAACAATTGCAGGGAAATCATGGATATAGACCAGGGGTGGGCAACCTTTTTGTGAGTGTGTGCCAAAACCAGCAAAATCTCTGACTCAAAATTCTTCTGCGTGCCAACCCTAATTTTTTGAGAACATGTTACGCCTACTTGATATCTCTTAAGGTGTACATTTGTGAAGAACCTTGAAGAAATAATAAAATTCATTCGAGCGACAAAAACACAGTATATGATGATGAAAAATACATTTATTTTTTTCATGTATACATGTACACTGATAGTCTTACAGGAAACTTTATGACTCCGTTTGATATTATCAATGGGACTTTTGCTGCTGCATCACTGATGACAGAGGTTTTACATCAGGTTTATATTTTGTGACCTTCAGAGATATGCACGAGCTACTACTTTCATCCGTCAGGCTACTCCTATTATGAGACTTAACAAAATTCATCACTGAGAACAAAGATTCACAAGCGTATGTGGATGAAACCAAAACACTGGTCGGATCTAGGAAGGCAGGGAGAGTTAAGGCAGAGGCATAGAAATTGCTCTTCCCCTCTCTCGTCAATCCATGTCTATGGTCTTTAAGATAACTTGTTATGTAAAATTATTTATTTATCTAAGATGCACCTACACTGAATTTATCTGAAAAATAAAAAAGTCGATATTAAGAAAAAAAATTGTAAATGGAAGATTATAAGAGAGGGTTTCGCGTGCCAGCAAAAGTTACTGGCATGCCAAGTTTGGCACGTGTGCCAGGGGTTGCCCACCCCTGATATAGACAATGAAAGACATAAGATGTAGTCTGTTCCACGCCCTCAAGAAATGTCCATTTAGCAGAATCCTTGTGAGTAAACATGACTAGTTTCTGCGGAGCCTCTGAAGACCCTGAACCTCACAGGTCTTCCCTCTGGGGTCCCAGAGTCCCCATCCCCCTATGCTTGGCCACAGGCAATGGTAGGAGCAGAGCGGTGAGGAAGGTGCTGCATGACTAAATGCCTGTAACCTGGAGGCTGCCCCTGAGTATTGTGAGGATCAGGGCCCCAAGGCTGGTGCCAAAAAGAGGCTCAGAGCTGAGCGAACCTTCCAGCCAGGGTCTGTTCTGAGCGATGCTCCCCAAGGCAAGGGACAGGGGAATGGCACCCGGCTGGGTTGGAGCCTGGGCCTGGCCGGGCCTCAAAGCTTTGAGGTCAGGAAATCCGGAGACAGAGGAGGGGGACATCGTTGCCACATCCCCCAGCCCCTTTAAGACTCCCAGGGCAGGAAGGCTGCCCAGCCTCACCAGCTTCCCTTCCAGGTGCCTTCCTGGGAGGAAGGGGCTGCCTGCGCCGCAGCAACAGGGCAGGGGAGGGAAGGAGGCTGGGCAGGTGTTGCAATCCACAGCCCCTGGGTCTGTCAGAGGCCAGGAGCCACTAACGACAGGCTGGGGAGAGAAGTCAGACGCGCTGTTTTCAGGAACTTGCCTGCAGAAAAGAGCAGAGACCCGGAGGCCAGGCGGCGGCGGCTGGCTGCGGGGCTGCAGGCTCCAGGGTGAGTAGGGGAGCCTCAGGGAGAGCTGAGCCTTGGCTTTGATTGGGGCTTGGAGTGC